ACCAATTAAATTACATAAAGTTTCATTCGATCAAGATTTCGTCTTACAAAATAGACAATTAGGCCGGGGACAAACTAGCGATTTAGTCAGGTTTAATCAGCGTGACCAGGCCAGTCTAGTCTGTAGCATTATTTCGTAGGAAAGAAGTGAGAGCACGGACAGGTTTAAAAGCAAAAGTACAGTAGAGCCTCGATTATCTGACCCCCGATTAACCGACACCTCGGTTAACTGACCGTCCTAGTCGGCAAATTTCAAATGTCCGCTAGTGATGTGGCGCTACAATATTTGGCTATGTCTCGGCTACTTTAATATTATTTTTACGTGTTTTAGCTGGCAACACTCATTCGACCATGAAAGGGAGCCAGTATTTAAACGAGACTTAATTTTCTAATTTTTAACGATACAATAGCAACAATTATTATTTTAAAAAAAATTTTTGTTAGTCTTAACATCGATGAAAATTCAACACAAAGTAGGTTAATAACAATATACTAATATACTAATTACATGGGATATACTAATATACTAGACTAATAATGTATTTTTTCATATTTTTCGGTTATCCGTTTTTTCAGTTATCCGACCAATCCCAGTCCCCAATTGAGTCGGATAATCGATGCTCTACTGTAATTTTATATATTTAGATTGAAATTAATAAAATTAATAAATCTAAAATTAAACATGATTTGTAATGAAGAAAATTATTTAATGGTATATTAAAAATTTTCTAATTTTAAGAATTATTGTTGTTATATTATTGTTAAGAATTTCAATTTTTTTTAAATTGATGATGATAACAGAAGATTGTTAACATTAATCCAAATACCTAATTGGTGAATTCATTTTGGCAATGTTTGGATTACTAATTTAATTAATTAACTATATAGTTTGGTCTAAAGATAGGTAGTTATGCTATCATCTTGTATCAACATTAATAATTGATAATTAAACTTAAATTAAATATTGACAGTGAACCTAGAGGAAACTAAATTAATCAAAAAAGTGTTTGATGAAAAACAAATCAGAACTGTAGAAATCCTCAAGATTTATAAAGCATCCAGAGATTGTGTCAATGCACAAGATTGTGAGATGATCCTGCATGGCAAATATTTTATGATAAGTGGGAAGAATAAAGCCAAAATCTAATAGCTATATAATTTTATAGACCTTGATAAGATATTGGTCGTAATCAAGATCATTAATTTTGATTTTAGAACATATCATCAAATATACTATGGCTAATACAAAATTTTAAAATATTCCAATATGTTTTAGAACAGCAAGGCATTCCAGTTTAAAAGTAATTTGTTCCAGTTGAACCTAAAACAGACTAGTGAACATATAAAAAAACATTTGTCAATAATCTACTACCCTACTGGAAAAGTACTTAAGTGACCCTTCTTTGAACATCAATATAAATTCCACTTTTTAGAAATTGCAATTTATAAATTAAATAATTTAGAATAATATGAAAAAAAATTTGACATAGAACAAGGCTCACCACACATCTTCAGCATACACAGATGTATTACCAGCTATGCTATCAAAACCTTCCTTTAATCCTTTGCTTCCAAAACTTATATTAATTAATTAATGCCACATAACCACATAGCTTGTCTTGCAAAGTGGAAACACATCCTATATGCCTAAGAGCCATAGATTACAATGGAAATAAAACACTGCTCAGTGTATTAAAATCTGAGCACTGAACAGTTTCTTTATCTTCAGGTTATATTAAATGTTCATATCCAATCGGGCAACTACATAAACCTTAGAAGTTTATGTAGTTGCCTCTAGAAGCCTATAAAGAAAGGTTGCAAGAAGTCTGTACTTCATTATGTAACTCTGTTTATTCAGTTTGTTACATTTTACAAAATTTTAAATTCATAATCAACAATTTTTCAAACTCTGTAAATTTTTAAATGTGAAAAAAAAAAAAATGATTTTGATAATTCCATTAACTAATAAAGCAAAGTTTTTGTTAAAATAAGAATAAAATAAAACTATTAAAATGTATTTTTTTAACTTATCTTTAAAATATTACACATATGACATATATCAATTTAACATATTCATAACTGATTCAATCAAAATATAGATATAATCAAGATATAATTATGGTAATTTAAAACAATGATATATGAAATATATTAAATTCATCTTAAATCTTACCTAAATCATACATAGATTATACACAGCTTCTGAATTCCACTTATGCACCACATGTTTGACAATTAACCATAATAAGCAGATCATAATAATAATAACAAATATTTTAGTAAAAATTTATACTGTTACAGACACAGTTTAGAAGTAATTTGACAAGATGATCTTTGCAAAAAGTACAACTGAAATTTTCTCTTTACTCACCTCTTTATATCCTGTTTGGAGAATGCTGCATTCATAAGAAACTTTGTTTTCTTAATATTTATTCTCTCTTTTTTTTTTTTTTGGGTAATTGGAAGATATTTTTGAATAGTGTATTTGTGAAACTGTTTATTTGTTTCATTTCTGTGGTATGTCATAAATAAGATATAACAGTTTGATTCCTCATTTTTACTGTATAATTTTGTATTATGCAGTTGTAAGCAACCATTCAAAATAATTACAAATCCTGATTTATATAATTTGATTAACTTGATTATGTTTAATTGTCATCCATCAAATTCACTTGTGTCATATAAGCACATTTTATATTATATAGTTAAAAATGAAAATTTTATGTAAATTGACAACAATATTAATGTAAGAAATATAATTTCTATAAACTCACTTGTGCTTGAACATCCCCTTTATCAGCAAGAAATTGATAATATTGTATTAAGTCATCATCCAAAACTCCTGAAGTAGATCCTGGATTTTCCAATTCATCAAGTAATCGAACCCTCTGAATGGCTGTACCACTATTTGAAGATAATTCTTCTTCAACTGCTCATGATAAAATTTGATTTAGTAAAAACAGATTACAATATACATATTTTTTTTTAATGTTTAAAAAATAGAAGAAATTAAAAGTAAAGAAATAAGTAGTAAGTATACAAATGTAAAATAGCAAAAATAAAGAAATATTAGCATACAATTTATAAGTAATTAAGTTATATTCATTGCAAATAAATAATAAATAATAAACCAAAATAATTTATTAAGTAATATTTTAGTCTAATNTTAAAATAGAGAAATAAATTCAAAATACAGTCGACCCCCCTATAACATGGTAGATACATTCCGTTCTTTATGAAATTGATGTTCTAAGAGTCCTTGAATACATGAGCCAATCACAGCCCGGCACGTATGCAGTTTACAGACTACGGTTGTTTGAAAGGTTTTCTTCCATAAAATTAATAGATTCTAGACTAATTCGACTCAACATTTCCAAAATACATATAATTTTTTGGGAATAATCCATATAAACTATGCTATAAACAAAAAATTGTAGGATTACTTACCAAGTGTGCACCATTCGACGATGCCATTGCTTAAGCTTGTTTTCATCATGGACCTTGTCATCGAATGGCGCTCACATGCTTCCTGATAAATTATTTTTTTTGCGAAAAATTTGCTGAACTTTGGTGATATCATTAATATAAATATAATTTTTATGGACGTTAAATAATAAATGGTTTTTAGTAGATCCACTGCTCGTTTAAACTCAACGGTTTGTACAATATCCACTATTGGTCTAGATTCGACCAATTCTGTCGCGACATGAGTCGGCGGTGACATTTTACCGAATTATACGAATTTTTTTAGCGTGTTTGTAAGAATACTGTTGCAATTTTTTCGCCATCATATAGGAATCCGAACTATATGAACCCGTGTTATAGGGGGGTCGACTGTATATAGAAGTCAAAGAAAAACTTCATTAACAAAACTATTCTTAAATAGCAAGTAGTGATGTTTGAATAGTAATTCTTGGTTACTTGTAAAGATCAGAAACAACAAACAAATATTATTTTCCAGAAGGACTGTACCTACTATGTTAATTTATTTTTAATATCCTACTTAAGTACCTATTAATTTAAGAAATTACAAGAGAGAGTCTTTTGTTTTTTACCCTAGATAGTAAGAATGTAGAATAATTTTTCCATAATCATTATAGATTCAACCAAACTCACAATACAGTGTCTAAATAATGAAGGATTGAAACATTTATGCTTTTTGGATTTTATGCTTAATGAATTTCTGAGTTACCAATTGAAAATCCCTAAGACTCCAAACCAAATGCAAAGTGAATTCCTTAGAGATAAAGAAACACATAAGTTCTAACAGCTGAAATATAGATAGTTTAAAAACTTTACAGAAAGTTAGAGATTCTAATTTAGAATCTCTAACTTTCTGTAATTTGACACTTGATGCAGGTCCCTAAAAGAGGCTGAGAACATTCCATTTTGTATTTAATTCAAATACATATTATTTGCTGGAAAATTGTAGGCATGGTATATAGAAAAAACACACTTTAATTGCCTGGACATCTGGCCATCAATAATACTATTACCATAAAGAATATAAAATTAAATAAATAAATTGTCATTCTCAAACTAACAAATTTCGTCTAATTTCTCAATCCTAAAATAAAACAAATTAAAAAACACTCAAGAGCAAAACAACTATAACCAAGCTCAGCTGGGAGAGCTTATTGAAGCACTAGGTATAGTTTAAAAGATGAATACACTAGGAACACGCAATGCTGTTTTTATTTTTGACCCCTAGGCCTAAATTCCATTAGGCGCACTCAGTTACATCAGAAAGCATGGACATTGTCACTTTCGTCTCTCTCTATATCAAAAATGAAGTCACAGACTCCTATTTTTTTACATTTATAAATGAACTTCCATTATTTTTTTTGACTCCTCATTGCAATTAATGAAAAATGATAAATTTTCACCAAAATTGGCCCATTAAATTTTGAGAACAAGCTTAATTCTACAGGTCCATAGAAGATGTGCTAGCGACTGTGGAACATCATGTGACTTTATCATGCAGGATCGCTTTGTTGCACATGCTTGTGCAACAACTTTATATCTTGAAAACAGAGTCATAAACCCCCATTTTTTTAATTACATTTTTGGATTCCTCATTGCAATTAATGGAAAATGGCAAAGTTTTAATCAAAATCAATCATACAGATTTTGAGAATAAACACAATTCTGTAAGTCACATAGAAGAGGCTTCACTAATGCTCCACCTCAACAAGCAATAATTTCTCCATATAATTCCTGCCACAATTAACACATTTGTCCCAACATATGGCCAGCTTGTTTATTTCATCTTCAAAGAATCATGCCTGTTGCATATGTGTTAGTTGTTAGGTGCGAGATCAGGACTGTAAATAGATGTAGAATTTTCCAATCCCACCTCTGGATTTTGCTGACAGTTGCACTTGTGGTGTGAGACCATACCCTGTCATGCAGAATGGTGACTTCATCCAATTTCTAATCTGGCCTCTCATGACAAATTGCTGCATGTAGCTGTGATAGAACATCACAATACAAGGCAATGTTGAGGAGAGTGCTGCCTCATGGCAGAAAATCCACAAGTGGACTTTTCCTATCCCAACAAAAAATGTTAGCATGATCTTTCTGTTGAGCGGGAAATGCAGAACTTCTGAGATGGTAATAGTATATACTTCCAGACCATGCTCTGCTGTTTGGTCTCTGGAGTATAGTGTTGATCCTAGGACTCATCACCTGTAACAATGTCATCAAGAAATGCTTGCCCTTCTTCCTGTTAACAGATCAAGTTTTACAAGCATAATGCCAGGCTTTTGTTCATTAGTAAGATGTTTGGGCATCATTGTGATGAAAATCTTCTGATATCCAAGATTATCAAGCAGAACATTGTGTATTGTCTAGTGATTACATAACCGGTAAATTAGGAAAATTATACTCCAGTAAATTTACCGATAATTAATATTTTTACCTGTATTTCAGTTAAAAAACCCTCTTAATTAGCCTGATATTTATTTTTCTAAAATTTCCAAAGGAAATACCAGTGGGAAGCAGATTTCCCTTTTCTCTCACCCCATACCATAGCGATAAAACAGTGCAAGTGGTGATGGGTTATTCCATTTGTAATTTAAGGTTACTAAAAGGAATTTTCTAGTCTGGTTATAACTTGATTCCCTCAAAAAACGAGTCTTATTTTGGGGGTATAATAACCCAGGAAAATTGAACAAATATAAGCCACACAAAACATCCTATAATGTTAACAAAAATACAATTTTGAATGGGATTGTATAGATAATCAAGCACTTATCAGAAAATGAAGACAAATCGTGACCTGCAGATGTCACTGAAATTAGTTCAGACTCAGTTTCTGGTGAGAGGTGTTTATTGCTTACCACACCGTCAACTTCTCGTGTTGACAAAAGAACAAAGTGCACAATAGAAAAATCAAATTTAACAATGAAAAAAAAATTGAACTTATTTATTAAACATAAAACGAGCATAGACACTGATAATAGTAATATAAGTAAATTGAAAAGTGTAAAAGATATATTTAAGAAAGAAATCAATTATTTTACTGGTATAGAGCAAAAAATACAAGGAATGCATCTTAAGAAGGTTTTCAATGCTCTAATGACAGTACGACCAACTAGTATTGATTCAATGAGAGCTTTTTCTAATGCAGCTGCCATTTGTAAAAAAATTAGATCTAGATTAGACAACCAGAGCCTAAATGTATTATGTTTTTTAAGAGCCTAAATGTATTATGTTTTTTAAGAGCCTAAATGTATTATGTTTTTTAAGAACCTACTTTCAAAATAAAAAAAGACATAATTAATAATTAACATTATTTCATATTTCAATGTCTGTTATGTCATAATAATTGCTACTACAGAAATGTTGTTTGTCTAAAATGATAGAAAACTTGAAAATAAATGATTGTTCAATAATTCTGTCAGTAATTCAGTTGCATTTTAAATCATTTGTTAATACGAATTTACAGGTAAATTACAGATAAACCAGTAACTCCAAATATAATTACTGAATTACCAGTAATGTAATACCTGGTAAATTTGCAATCACTAGTATTGTTCCATAAGAAACATCTACTTCATCTGCAATAAACAGAATTGTGACTCACTGATCTTGTTTCACAATGTATCCATGCATGCAATATTTTCTCTGTGTGGATATTTGGCCTCTACCCAAACAAGGTCCCTTCTGCAAACTTTCATGACTCTCCAGAAATAATCTGTACCATCTCCATACACTTATCTCTCCCACAAGAGGCACACTTCATTTTCTAATGAATTTAGAAATTACCTTTTCCTTGAGACCACAAGAAATTAACTATTCTGCACTACTCATAAGAAACTGGAATTCATAATCAACATTCTTTGATTACCCATCTGGAATGCACCATACTGTCAATGATCTGAATGTTCAATTAAAATTTTAGCTAAAAGCCCACATTACATAATGTATACCTCAAAATGCATTATAATGAAATATTATTTGAGAAAAAAACAGCTGCCACTACTTATTGATACTCCCTTATATATTTATTTCAAATTTTCATATTTTAGTAATGGGACGATTAATTGTAATAATTCCCAAAAAATCAGCATATTTTGGGAATCAGAATCGAGCAAATCTTGTCAAAATTTTTCATTCTTAAAACAATTCTGTCACATTTAACAAGAAAATTAATTATTTGTTTCAGTTGAAGATTAAAAACTTTTAAATTATGATATTAACAATTAAGTATTAGTTTATTGAAAGCTTTCACATCAACAAAGCATAGAGCATGTGACACCCCCTACATGAAGTAACATCTGTTGCAGCCAACTTTTCTTTCATATAGTCAAAGTAATGAGAGACTGCACTCTGTCAGTACTAACTGTCTCTATTTTAGGAAAGATAGGCTGTTATTAAAATTATCCGGCCTGTATTGGTTGGCTTGACCAGCAATTTCAAACTGAGACCAATAGTCAACAAAAATTTAAGTGTCAGCAAAATAGTTTAAAATATAAACAAAATTATATTTTAATTGAAAAAAACATCATCAGATTTAACAAAAAGATTTGAACTGTTCAAGAAAACAGTTCAAATCTTCTTGTTAAACCTAATGTAGACCTATGAAAAGAGGTTGAAAACTTTAGTTTAAATAAAGTGTTGCTGAAAGAAGTGTTTAAAGCTAATTCAAGCTAAATTAGTTTCAGCTTATATAGAAATGTTTTTGTCATGATTCACAGGCAATACTGTGAATCATAACAAATGTGATTTGTGCAATTCTAAGTAAAAAGAATTACTCATACTAAATTTACTGCCGTTTTCAGTTTTAAAAATGGATTTTTTTAGATGAATCAGTCTAGGCATTCGTTTGATTCTTCTTTCCTTAAAAATAATTCATACAATTGTACATTTAGGAAAACTAGTTCAAGTGAATGAATTCAAAATGCGGTTAATTCAGGGTGATGATGATAGTTGTTCAGCTTATTGCATCATTTGTTGAACTTCATTTATTGTTAAATACGATGGGATTAAAGCATTTACGCAGCATGCTGACTGCAAGAAGCATGAAAAAGAAGTGCCTCTTCTTGTTTATCTTCTCCTTGCCCTCAGTCATTGAGTCAGCAAAAGAAGCAGTTTCCAAAGATGGTGACCCTAAGTGACATGATGGAATAGTTCCTTGAGCAAAATGGAATTAATTAGTTAATTTCTTTGGGGATAGTGTTTCAAAATTAATTTTATCTGAAATAAGATTACAAATTTGTTTTTTAGTACCCAATAAAAGCATGCTTATCTACATATAAATGGAGAATTTTTAGATTTTTTTCAAAAGATTTATTCTGGATTTCCCAATTGTTTTCCATTCTTAAGCTTGATGTTTATTAATTAACAAATGTACCATGCTTGTAATGTAAATCGTTAATTTTTCTAAACAAAAATAAACTTTAGAAACTATTCAAAAGAATCAGAATCGGGAGTTTTTGGCAGAATTGAAATTAAAATCGAGAGAAGTTTTGGTATCATTCCATCACTATATTTATTTTAAAGAATTAGGTTTTAAATTTAAAAACTATCTGATAATCTTATAAAATGTGTTCTTTAATAATTTAAAATGCATTTAATTTGTAACCAGGTTTAAAAACTTAAAATAAAATTTTGCATTTATTTTAAAAAAGTCGCTTCAGAAAAACATGTCTAATGAGCAATTGTTTATTGACATCGTCATAATGCCGGGCTGCAATTTTTAATAATATTTTTAATTTATTTCATTTAAAATATATGCCCTCCACATCAAATTAGTAGTGTCTTGCCCCTGTACATCATACTTTCCTGCTAGCAATAGAGTTGTGCCAGTCATCTATCTTTCAGGAAAAAATTTTTTAATTGAAATAACATGACTTATGGTGCAAACTGGAAGTTCACACATAGTTAATTGAGGCTTCCTGCCCCTAAGGTTTTCATATCTGTCTCTTCTTTCATCTATCTAACTACATTCTTGAGATTAAGGAAAGACAGACACACAGACAGACAAAAGTGGGAATTTATAGGTCTACAACTTTTTCAAATTGCAGCCCAACAGAATTTGTAAGATAAACTTTTTCCTCAAGTTCTTGTTTTAAAAAGACCACAATCTTAGCTATCGATTAAATTTTTGCTTTCAATAAAAAGTAGCAGAAATCTATATTTGACAATATACTTGGAAACATACTTAAAATTTTCTGCCCAGAAATATTTAAAGCAGAACAACTTTTCTGTTTTCTTTTTTCTTAACAGAAATACATTAGACAACCAAACAATATATACAATGCCAATTAGTGCCATCTAAAAATGTTGTGTCCTCTTTTCTGCCAAAATGTTTGAATAATATGACATTCCCAGTGACACTTCAATGGGATTCAAAAAATGATTGCTTGTGTTGCATGTAGAAACAGAGAAATTGAGCAGTATTGAACCCTGTTTTTGGCCCTCTTTCAGTTGTAAATAATTTGCTTTTTCTGTCATAAAGTGCTTTTTTCTACTCAGAAAATGTCAAGTTTGTCCCTACCCTTATAAATAATGCAATCAATTTTTGTATAGAGAGATGTTAATTGTTTATTTTTAACTGATATTTATATTTTCAACTAATATAACAATGTTTTCTATTCACTTCTGTGCATTAATTAATTATAAATGAATTACTTTATAATACACTTAAAAACTGATGATGATCAAAAATTTTGAATATAGTTTGGTTAAGGTTAAATAAAAACATCAGTAATACAGTATCATTATATTAAGTAAAAGCAAAAACAATGAAAACATTTTTAATGTATTTTGCAATTTTAAATTATTTAATAGAAAATATATATGTATATACACAAACACTGTATAATATTTATTACTAAGTACAAAAAGATAAAATTTTAATTACATTTTCTGCATAATTTTATGTTAATTATGATTTGAACCATTAAAAAAGATATTATTTTATTTTATGTTTTTTAGAAAAAAAATCCTTACTATATTTATCCATCTTATTCACTCATATTCTCACACACATAAAACAAGGCATTATTAAAAACAGTCTTATTTTATTATAAGATTAATATTTTCACCTAATAATACATATATTTGTAAGTTATTTTTGTTAATAACTATAATTTAACTTACAAATATTTGTAATCATTAAATGAAATTATTATTTTCATTTAATGATTATACACACAGCAATAATAATAATAATTTTTTTTATAAATTTTTTGAAATTATAAGAAAAAACCTGGATATTTACAGTTTGAATAAATCTTTACCTTACTTAAATTTTTACTATTGAAACATATATTATTTTGAGCATTTCAATTTATTTTTTATATCATAATTAAATGATTCAATATTAAAGGAAAAATTAAAATAATGGATTAAATATAACATAGCAAAATAAAATAACCTATGTTTACCTTTCCTAAAAATGCCATTGCATTAGCATTACCAGCATCAGCAGCTTGTACAAAATAATTCAAGGCACGCTACAAATAAAATAAATTTTTAAGATTAAAAAATTTAATAATACTGTGATGTATTTTATGGAAATTTATTAATTTGTTCTCTGGGAGTAGGCTTTCCATGTCAAATGACTTTGCCTTTTCTTTTGATAAACAAATAAATTGCAATAATATATATTTATAATGACTATATATAATAAGTAATACTGGCTATTAAGTAAGCAATTCCACATTCAATAACTTGTTTTAGTAAATGTATCCTAATTCATTATTAAAAATCTGAAAATTACTGAAATACAGTTTTCATTGGCTGAACAGGAGTTCCTACTGCAACCATATTCAAATTATACACAGATTGTTCTAAATATATGAACTGTTAAAATTTTAACAGTTCATATAAAGCTTCATAAATATAAATACAGGTTCATGATTTTGGAAAATATAATTAAATTAATTTCAAAAATCACTTAAGTAAAACAGGGATGAAATTTTTAAATAAGCCTATAATAATAATATGGAGAAAATAAAATCCATAAATTTTAAACCAGGCCATGGCACTGAATAAAATTTATTTTCTACAATTAAATCAACTGAAAAATTATTATAAATTTTATAGTAAATAACTGTTAAAATTTAAGATTTGGTCTAAGTAAAATTTGAATTCAAGTGCTTCTCCCATAGAATGCATGTTCCATCAACAAAAAAAAAGTTTGCATAGATTTGCAGACATAAGATATTTATTTATAATTATTAGATTACAAAAGAAAACAAACTCACAGCATGATCTTGTTCCACTCCCCGACCTCCTTGATAATGAAGTTGACCCAAACCAACCTACAAAATAAATTTTTTAAAATTTAGTCAATTTTACATATATATAAATATATAATATACTGGCTGTTACCCACGACTTCGCTCATGTGGATTTTGCAAGCAAATATCATTTATATTCAGTATTTCAACAATCACAGTAATTGTTGTACATGTGGCCCACCACTGAGAATGACGAGAATTGCTGAGAATCAAACAAACTGTTTTCAATTTGATCAATTTTCTGGAACGTTTACAATTATTCTATAATCGAACCAATATGCAATAACAAATTTGAATTTAAAACAGTTCGAACATTTGATTAAAAAATCAAAATATATAAAAGTATTTATAACAATGTCTGAAATGTTATCAATTTAATACATCTAAGTACTCAATGAAGACTAAACGTAGTTGAAAACAAAAAGTCGCATACAGTAGAAGCCGTTCTTCAGGTTAAGTCTTAATGCTCTCCCTCTCCCCCTACCCCTACCCCAAAGGGAATTTCAAAAAATCCCTTCTTAGTGTGCATTTTCATGATGTACCCTAACTGTGTACCAAATTTCACCTCTTTAGGTTCAACAGTTTGCTCTGGGCAATGATGAATCAATCAGTCAGTCAGGACAAGTACAGTAGAGCATCGATTATCCGACCCCCGATCAACCGTCACATCGGTTAACCGACTGCTTCTAGTCGGCAAATTCAAATGTCCGCTAGTGATGTAGCGCTACAATATTTGGCTATGTCTTGGCTACTTTAATATTATTTTCACGTGTTTTAGCTGGCAACACTGGCTCGACCATGAAAGGGAGCCAGTATTTAAACGAGACTTAATTTTCTAATTTTTAACGATACAATAGCGACGATTATTATTTTAAAAAATTTTTGTTAGGCTTAACATCGATGAAAATTCAACGCAAAATAGGTTAATAGCGATATACTAATATACTAATATACTAATTACATGGGATATAATAATATACTACACTAATAATGGATTTTTTCATACTTTTCGGTTATCCGACTTTTCAATTATCCGACCAACCCCAGT